GCATTCCACTGAATTTTCAAAAAATCATAAAATGATGAATGAAATATAAATTCAGCCTTTTTCAAAGTGAAAACCTTTTTGAGCGAGTAGCTTAAGCTTAAGGATAGAATAGCATAGAAATATATATACAAATTTGTGAAAGAAAATAAAACAAAAAAGTCACACCACTTATGTTAATTAATAAATTATTTTTTTTTTTAATTAAGGAATATAAATTACAAAAATAATTAACAAAAATTAATAAAATAAAATTAATTAAATGAAACAAAAATTTATATAATATGTATGTATATATGTATGTATGTATATTTAAAACATACCAGATGTTTGAAATTTTAAAAAAAGTTTTTTATGAAAAATAATTCAATAAATTAATATCCTTCTATATACTCTTTTCTTCTTTAACTTCACTTTCTCCACTCCTTCCTTCTTTTCTATCACAACTAATTCAAACATCCATCCACCTGTCAATCTAATCTATCCTCCAAATAATATTTTAGGACCCAACATAACACATGTTTAATGCATTGATTTCTTTAGCTAACCAAGGCCAACTAATTCCCATTCTACCTGTAAGTTTTTGTTCATATTGTAGTAATTCATACATAAATTTAAGATTTGGTTGAATTATAACATTTAGACGTCTTGCGCGAACAAATAAATATGACGATACAAGTGATCTACCAAGATGTCTCATAATATACGCTATTGTAATCGTAGCTGATCTAGAAACTCCTACTCGACAATGAATAATCACACTTCCATTCAATCTGCGTGCATTTTCTAAAAATAGAAAAATATGTGAATGTTATTATTGTTATTATTATGATTATTGATAATTAATTTGCTTTGTTTTCAAAAATAAAAAACCTTTTCCAACTTACCGATGAAATTTACGCATAAATCTAAATGGTTCCATAAACTATCAATACCATCATCATATAAATTACCCAAATATAATATATCAAATTCCTTCCCATCCAATCTGGCGTCTTCTCCAACTGACAATACATGTGTTATTCCAAGTGCCTTGAGCATACCAGCATTACATGCATGGCTTAAATTTCCTAAATACAAAAATGGTAAGATCCTACTTGGAAAACTTCCCTCAAATTGTGACGAATAAAACCACGAAAATTTATTTGAAATCTCTATGTTGTCCCTTTCATCTTGACTAACTTTTTTCCTTTCTAATACACGTTTCTCAATATTTAACAGTGTTGTCACATCACTTGGGTACACAAAGAAACTGCGAGTTTTTTGTAGCCGTAAGTATGCTTGTGGAAGTCGTAAAGTCTCATTGTACATGAGATATGTTAGCGCAAGGAGTGATGTCTCTGTGTATCCATCTGCACAATGAATTAGTATCTTACGATTGTCATTATTTGCTTTTTCTGAGATGAACTCACAAAGATCTAATAGTTTTGTGATTAGCGAATCATATGAAGTTGTTGAATTACATCCTACAGCTGACGACATACAATCAACATGAATTATATCTTTGATGGATATTGGCCTAGACTTTGGTATTGTGGAAAGTCCTTCGGTTAGGTGTTGAAGCGTTTCTTTATCTGGGATTTCTCCAAGATCATGTGCCTCAATACAAATACAAAAATGGTGTGGATTATCATCGATCAATGAGATCGCTGAATCTGCAGGGTCTAACTCGGTTGAAATTGGTACATCTTGTGTATTACCTAACTATAAATTAAAATGATTTATTTAGCATGTTTAATTTATTTAATATATAAGTCCTTATATTTATATTATTTTTTTATATTTACCCAAACATTTGGTGATATTTCTGATGCTGCTGTAAGAATTCTCATTTCCTCCCTTTCCTGTTCTGGAAAATTAATTTTATTACGCCAAATACCTTTATTATCTATTGCTACAACATTTAGAAAATCTTTTTCAAAAACAGAAAATGGATCTATAAAATAAATAAATAAATATTATTATATGATATATTTAATAATATGCATTATTATATCATTTTTTTTTTTTTTTAAAAAATTTATACCGAGAATAACAAAAGTTTCATAATTGATTCCAATTGGTCGTTGCTCTCTTAAAATTTGTTGTGCCCAAGCAACTTGTTTTGCAACTTTTAAAACATTTTCATTAAGTCCATCCTCTCCATACACAATAATGTCTGAAATTGTGGCATACTTTGCAACCTGTATCTTAAAATTCCTTAGATTTATCCCTTCTCCATCAGCCACTTTTAAAAATCCTCTTATATAATTTGATTCTTCTTCGTCATTTTTGCTTTTATTATTATTACTATTATCATTACCATTATTTAGACCATTTCTGCGATTCCCATTACTATTACTATTCTCATCATTATGGTTATCATCATCATCGTCGTCATCGTCATCATCGTCGTCATCATCATCATCATTAGATGATGGTGATGATGATGGTGGAGTGGAAGGATTTAAGATGTCACTTGGAAATACCGAGCCAATTAATTGTGATCTTTCACTACCTTCATCAGCCTGAATCAATGTTATTCCGCGATGTTCTGGAACCGGACAATTATTTACGCAAAAAAAATTATTTTGTTGAACGTTTGAACCATCCACGCCATGTAGCCATGGAAATAACATATTGTTCGGTAAGGATTGAGTATAATATGTTTCATGAATACGATAATAATGTGAAGCTGTTAAACCTCTAATAAGTGGATTTTCACTTATTATTGGAAAAACTTCAAAGACTGAAGGTGAATGTGAACGCGGTGTTGCAGGTGAAGAAACTGTTGTTGTTGAAAGTGGAGAGGAAGGTGGTTGTGGTGTAAATGGTGAGGCTGGATTTATTTGTTTTTCGATCGCTGTCATTTTATCTATTCTAGAATTTTTTAAAATTCTAAACAATTTTATAATATTTATTGTCTTACGGAAGGAATTAGATTTTCAAGAAAAATTTTTTTACTAATATCAAAATATTTATATAAATCGAAACGGTTTTCTTTTTAGTAATGGTAAAGTAAAAAAAAATTTTTTAAAGAGAAAAAATTTTTCCCTATGAAATAAATATATAAATATTATACTGTTACACAGAATAGATATGAACAATAATATGAACACTTCTATTAATTACGTATTATATATGGGGTAAAAGCAGGAAAAGTAAACGTAACGCCACACACTACAATTTTTTACAATGCTTCTAATTCTTTTAATTATTCAATTCCCTCTTCCATATAAGATATTAATCCAAACATAAAATTAGGCAAGTAAGTGCTGGATTGTTTGAGGAATCCTCAAATTTTACTGATAGGAACATGAAATGTCATTGTCGAGTTTCCCTAATTTTTTAATACACTCTTATAATAGGATATCTGCCTTTTGAATATCATCACCTTTGAATTAAAAGCATCTTTTTAGCCAACAAGATCATCTTTAGTTTGTAGTTGTCAATTATTTTCTTGGATTCTTGTTCTACAGGAAGCAAGCTCTTTATTTTTCCTTCTTTTTATCCTGTAGTTATTGTGGCCCTCATCTTTTCCATAGATATGTATACAAAGATGAAGCGAGGAACAGATTGAAATTATACAAGTTAAACAACAATTGCACAAAAACATACATAGCAATAAATAAATATTTTGTATATAGCTTAGATTCACCAAAATGTAAATGACCAAAAAAAAGATCATCAAATTGACTATATAGTAATGATCTGCGCTATGTATGATTGGACCATTTAATATTCACCTATTTAGACTTTATTTAGTGCCTGTACATGAAGATCATTACATAACTTGGTAATAAAGCGTTGGGTTCTGTTATTAAATCATTCCTTTAAATAGAAAAAAACATTCTCGGATAACTTTCTAAAGAGAACCTTACCCTTCTTTAAAGAATGTTAGAATAATGCGAAAGATTTTGTTTACAGGACTCATTGGAGATAAGGAACCTTCAAAACGTGTAAATTTTTCATTCTTTGATTTTAATAATCATGTAGTGTTGTCTACATAATAATAACAAATAAAATATTTTTAAGAATAAACATGATCTTGAATAGTAAAGAAGCTCTCCTTGACAAAGTAGAAGTAAAAAATTAGTCCTTAGTGTAAATATTTTTATTTTTATTTTCTTTTATTTTGTTTATAGATTAATTGGAAGGCGAGATGTTCCAAGAGGGTGTTACTATGGGCGATATATAATAAAAACAGGGAATATATAGTAACTATAGGATTTACTATAGGCGAAATAATAAATTAGTCGTTGCTAGAATATACATGGCAAAATTAAATTGAATTTATATTTGAACACGATCTCACAATAGATAAATTAATATTAATGTTAATTTTATTATTATATGACAAGTTCTTTTGTTTTGATTTCGTATCCCAATTGAATCAAACACTCAATAAATTCCTCACACCTGGGTGTTCTTGTACCATCACCGTGTTTCTTGAAATGAAAAATTTTCACTTTTCTTTTTTGGTTGTTGTCGATTTTTTATTATTTTTATTATATATACATCCTGATGAATGGGAAGGCCAATGTTGGAATTTTGTAGTTTGTGAAGAGATTTTTACCTTTAGCATGCTATCTTTTTCAATTATTTTATAATCATTTAGATAGATTTATCTAACTAATCAATTAATTAATATAATCAAATAGTATAGACTAACTCTGGTTAATTGAGGCTTTATTTATCATTAAAGAAAAAGAAAGAATAAATAAATCTACAACAATAATAATTTTGATTGGACATAGTACAACGTAATAAGCTTTAAAATCAAGCTTTGATTCAACGAGATTAAAAATACAAATAATAATAAATATCGATAAATGAATGGGCTGAATAAATTCAATATAAAAAAACCTTCGCTCTTAACAATTCTATGAATGCGCGATGTCGATCGTTGTACGATAAGAAAAAATTTTTTAATAATAATGAAAATAATAATAATGTATTTTTCAAAAAAAATATTTACTAAATTAAATTACAGTAACTATTATTATTATAATATACGATTTAAAATGACAAAAAAATCCAATAAAGATTCACAACAAAAAACAGTAGAAAAAAATAATGATAACGAAACCAATAAAAGTCCAATTTCTTTACTTTCAGAGAAAACATATAAAATGAATCTTTTAATTAAACCTGGAGCGAAGGAATCACGGGTTACAAACATTTCAGAAGTTCATGTTAGCTTACAGGTAAAATAAAACATAAACAAATGTATTTAGAATTTTATCATATAAATTTATGATCAATTATAAGATCGCAGCACCACCAAGAGATGGAGAAGCAAATAAAGAAGTCATTTCATTTTTATCCGAGGTATAATTATAATTCTTTATTATTGGAAATATTTACTATTACTTTTATATTATTTAATATACCCGTTATATATTTTTATAAAGATTTTAAGAATTCGTAAAAGCGATATAAGTTTAATATCTGGAATGAAATCTCGTGATAAAATTGTCAAATTAGAAGGCATAACTCACGATGAAATATTGAACTTATTAAAATCAAACATTCAATAATTTGGAAATTAAAATTTTCATTTTTATTGAGAGTAAATTAATATATAATTATTCTTTCATGATTCGATCGATTTACCAAGCTATTGTGCAGTTTCTCTTCACTCTCATTGAGTATAAATGCGGCCCTTCCTCAAGCCAAAATCCCAAGTACATATTTAAAGAGACCCGAGTCATTGCTTTACTAGTACTCTTGCATGTCTAGCTTAAATAGTGCATTTTCATGTATTTTCCATAATTAAATTTATGAAGAATGAAGAATTTTTAATGAAATGGCTTTTACCCCAGTGGTTCTGTTAAGAGAGTTTGAAGAAAGATTAAAGATATACCCTCCTTGACATGGTTTCCGGGCAAGTTTCAACTTGGATATATATTTATTTATTTATTTATTTACTCTGAAAAGTTTACCGGCCTAATGAATTTTTAGCTATGTTTGTCTAGGACGTTTGATGATGCAATGAACCGAGCACACCAAGATATTATTTTCAAAAATACAGCATATATCAAAGAAACAAATAAAATTTTATAAAGTTGGTTGATGATGGACTACAATAAAAACGGAGTTTACTGTGTATTCCTTGTGTGTGTGTGTGTGTGTGTGTGTGTGTGTGTGTGTGTCATTATTAATAGGAAATTCGATGAAACCTTGACATTTCGGAATCTTACCAAAAAAATAAATTATGAAAGAATTTTTTTTTATAATTATTTAAATTAAATCGAAAAAATTATGTAACATCGGCACTTTGCGCAACAAATACTATTATAAAATTTCCAAATTCTTATAAAAACCTTTGTTTCAAAAAATATAATGAATGTCACAATTTTTTTTTTTTGTGGGGTAAAAATAAAAACAATTAATTAATATTAATTAATTAATTTTTTCTATTAAGAAGTTATATAAATAGTTTTTTTTCAAAAAAAAAATTGTATTTAAAGAGAGAGAGATGCGAAGGAATTTCAAAAAAAAAAAAAAAGACTTTTGAAAATTAATAATTTCATCTAATCAAATTAACAACATACATAATATAATAAATATCTTTATCCTAAACTAAAAAATTATCGGTCAATTAATAATAATACATTTCATAAATTCGAAACTCACTAAAACAATTACAACAATAAAACAAAATGGAGTCATTATCGCAAGAAGATTTAATAGTAACAGCATTATACGATTTTGAATCAAAAGAATCTTCTTGTTTGAATTTCAAAAAAAACGATAGAATATTAGTTTTGAATCAATTAGAATCCGGATGGTGGGATGGTTTGTGTAATGGTCAACGTGGCTGGTTTCCAAGCAATTATGTAACTAAAGCTCAAATTGCTATTGAGCAAGAAACATAATCATCCTCATTATCTTCCAACTAAAAACAATAATCGACTTAGATTTATATATATATATATATAGATAGAATTAAGAATAGATTTAGATTTAAATTTAGATTAGATATAGATAGACTTAGATTAGATTTTAAAATTTTCATTATTTTTTATCTTTACTACAATTATTTTTAGTAAATTTTTTGTGTACGTACCCGAAATATTTTTTCAAAAAAAAAAAAAAAAACGATTAAAAATTTTCTTTTTCGAAAAAAGTGCTGCATAAAATATTACGGTCGTAATTTTTTAAGAGTATACTCTACCATTAAGTTATAACCCGAACTTGACCAAAATTGGGTTTGGGTTTTTGACCAACTCGATACAGGCCTCTAGTATTCAGTGACAACAGAGGGAGGACCTGAACAATCTTAGCAGATGGTGTATTTAAAGTTTAGGCATAATTACTCTTTTTTTTTATGACAGTATATTTAAAAAGCAGGTATTGGTATGTTTGAACCGGGTATGGTAAAAAATCGACTCCCTTCAATAACAGATTATATAAACATGCATGCAGAAGTAAAATATAAAATTTTTTCAATTCATCAATAAAATTGTTTTCATGCATTACACTACTTGAATAAGACACGTAATATTTTGATAACGACAATTCCAAACCATTAACAGTTGGAATAAAGAATTTATATTTGTTATAGAAATTTCAGGAAAAACTGAAGGAAATAATGACAAGACAATTCGAAGGTGCGTCATCACGAGCTTGCAATAATCTGGACACGTTCAATGTATGTTTTATGCTTATTACCACAAATATTCTTTCTTATTATTATAAAAATGGTAATTAATAAAATCTCATGGTGAAATAATATCCTATATTTTATGGTCATTTACCTTATTATTTGGGTTTGGTGGTTTTGCATTTCATGATAAACCCATCATCATCATTATATAAACCACATGGTTTATTTAATTAAGATAGAAAAAATCAATTGAAGGTAATTTTTGGGAAAAAATTGATAATAAAAATTTAGTAATTTTTTTATATTTGAATTTTTGGTGAAGATTTGCTGTTAAACTCCAAATACACCATTTACTAATATTGTTCCAGAGACTCCAATATCAGGCGCAAAATTTGAGATAACTTGTTTTCTTAACAATGTAGAGGATGAAATCAAACTAGTGATCAATATTATAATAATATATTCTTTATTGATACTTTTTTTCTACAGTAATTATAAATTAGATTCTCCAACATTTTCTAGCATATCAAAATGAAATGTTGCAGGCTTAGTAATTACAGTGAATTGATGCGATTTGTTATGATGTTCTTTTAAATTAAAAAATATATATTAGTTATTAAAATTATCATAGATTATAAATAGAAATTTAATTATTAATAATAAAATTTACCATTTTCAAATAATCCTTCAATAGTACACTCTTCACATAAGTCTAAGCCTTTGCAATCCCTGCAAACAAATCGAGTCCCTACTATTGGATTCTTATTACATGAACTACACTATACAATATACAAATATTGTTAGTTAAGAATACCGCAAAAAAAATTTCAGATATTAAACTTACATAATGTCCATAATGTACATGATCTTTACTCTATATATCAGTATATAAATATATAATGAATGAATAATATGAAATTATAAATTATAAAATGATTATTCGATATTTGAAAAAACCTGGTTAATACTATTTTGCTGAAGATTATGCAAGTGATCCATAAAATTTTCATCTGATAATCTATATTTATAATTAGTTTACATTAAAATTATCATTAAAATTTATTTATTCTAAATATATTATTTCCGATAATATTTACATTGAATACCTTTTTTTTCCTGGGGGAAGTTTAGATGTTCTACTATATTGATTCACTGATGACTTTAATAATAATAAAAAAGAAATTCAAATTCTTTCTTTTTAAAAATATAAAAAACTATTTTTTAATTAATTAATTACCTTCAAATTACTATTATTATTCCCATTTATTATTAATGAATTATTACTATTATCACTATTAATAATATTATATTTATTATTGGGGGTGTTGGAACTACCCATCATATTACCGTAAATATTATAAAAGGCTGCACTATTTTAGGTAATGTTTATTCATATTGTAACCAAATAAGCGCACGTATAAATTATATTAATTAATTAGATATCATAAGGCATAGCAATATAATATTGAATTTTTACATTGCAATAAAATATATTGTCAAACTGCGGACCTGGAGATATAATCATTATTTTTTGATAATCTTCTTCTAGTTCTAGGACTTGTAGGTGAAGGTGATTGCTGTTGTTCTTTGATATAATTATCAGTGACGTCTGTTGATCTTCTTTTGGCATGCGATTTTTTTAGAGTTGTAGGTTCTCGTTTATTGTATCTTGTTAAGCCCACTTTTTCAGCACATTGATGCACAAATTCAACAGATTCAATTGGTTCGCACGTTAGCTTATTAGACTAAAATATATTTCTTTTTAATATTAGTTAACATAAATTAAATTCTTTAGAAAAGATATTATTGAAAATTCATACCACTGGAGTAAACTCTGGATCTTTTAAATAAAATAAATTGTTATCTCTTATTTATTAGAAAGATTTTCAGTCCAATTTTATGTGTCACCAATATCTAATTACCTGGTTTGTATTCTGATGGACTTGTATGATACTTTGACCAATCAATTTTTGGAACTTCTAATATATTACGAATTTTTGGCAGTTTTTCATATACCTATTACATATATTATTAATTAATTAATTAAAAAATTTTTCTTCCAAAAAATAAATAATAATTAATCACTCAAACAAACCCCAGCCATAATGCCTTCAACATACTGTATTGGGTCTTGCATTGCTTTCTGTTTCAATGATTTGATTTTCTCTATATCATTTTTTACTAGTCCCAATTGAAATTTTAGAACATTAATTGTTCTTATTATCATTTCATAACTATAATAAATAATGTATATTTGTATATTATGTAATATTACTATTATAATTATACTATTACTATTAATTAACCCACTTACTCTTCATTACTATGCAATAAACTTTCTTCTAAAGAATATCCTGAAATTTCATTAGAAGCAGTAATTTCTGTTATTGTCTCGTTGTTTTCGTTTGTTGATTTAGGCATGTCTTGAGAAATGTATGATTCTTGGACAATAGAAGTAACTTCTTTTTCCTCATTATCCCTCATTACAAGTAATTGCCCTATGAAAATAAATATACAGAAAAATTATATATAGAAATTTTATTGGAATCCAATTTAATATGCAAAAATTTACAGGAGGTTTATAGAAACCTTTTATGATTTTTTTGCAATACAAGAAATTTAGAAAATGCAAAAAAAATAAAAAAAAATTTACAGGAAATAAGAAATTTCTTAGAGGAAAATATGGAAAATATACAAGAAACAAAATCATTTGTAAAAATATTTACAGCAAGTATATAGGAAATAAATATGCAAGAAACAAATTCCCAAAAAAATATAATTATTATTATTGAATTATCTATTTGTCTAAAACGTAAGACTTGTTTCCTATAGAACAAAAAGCAACAATCCATACCAACCACACATTACACACTTATCTTTTTGAACTGACTTTGTCCATTGAATATATGAGGTATATTATTTTATTTCTGGCAAGTATGTAAGATAAAACATTGCTCTTCTGTTTTTCAAATTTAAAGAAAATCCTCCATATTCACTAGATATTGGATTGTTAAGTTTGTTGAGATGATGTTCAATTATTCAATTATCAAAACTTTATCAGGTTCTAAATTAATTTTAAATTCTCTTTTATTAAATAAAAGAAGATTCTTCACTACTACTTGTTTCTGATATCTTGTGGCAATAATAAGTTGCTTTGTGAATCTTTTCTAGAAGTATCTTTTTGTCTCCAAGTCATACATTCACACCAATAATCTCTTGCCATATCTAACTAAATATTGTTTTAAAATGCGTGCAGAAGATTGATTAACGCAAAAATTTTAACTTTAAAAATAAACTTGAACTTTATATTTAATAAATTGCATAATAATTTATACATTACCTACACCATGGCTAATAATTCTTAAAAAAGTTCAAATAACAAAACAAAAAGAAAAAAATGCTAGAAAAATTAGAGACCCAACATTGAATTTTCAACAATGATTCGCAAGGTACTCCATTTTAGATTTAAGACAAGGAAGAGAACTAGGCGTTCATTATTAATAAATATATTTAGTTTGATTGGAGGTATTATTTGATATGGTTTTGAAGAAGGTATATAAATAGCCTGAACATCTTATTGATAAATATTATATCCTGTACATTACATTGGTAAATATGTTCACCTCCATAAGATTCTTATCGTAATAATCGTAAATAATAAACAAATGATTGATTGGTATATTATTGTTAGTATTAAATAATAATAATAAATAACTATAAAGGCAAAAAAAAACAACATAATGGAGAAACCGCTTTTTGGACAGTTTGGATTCACAAATTGGTTATTACTAGTCAGATTAGCAGATAACGTGGCCTTCAAGTTTATTGAAATTGCATTGTTGTTAAAGAGACTACTAACCTGGTCGGAACTTCGCCCTCCTGTAGAAGAAATTCTACAATATCGTATTATCAATATCAAATTTATTGGAAATTTAGAGCACAAAAAAAAAAAATTTCTCATGCCAACTTTTACTTGCCGAGGTATTATGTGGAATTTTTCAAAGTTTGTTCCTTAAAAGTTTCATTCCTGCATGATCTTAGTATTATTACGAATAATAGCATCAAATACATCGCATAATCATTATGAATATGGAAACAACATTCAAGGAAAGGATTAAATAACAACAAAAAAGACAAGTAATGTTTTTTTATTTTGAAAAGCAACATAACTATTGAAATGGCTCTAAACAACATGTGATTATTAGAAGTTTACAGATACATATACTAAAAATTACTTCAGGGCTCAAAGATTTAAAAATTAATTCCTTATGTAAAAAGATTAATCTGGCCTGATGGCCCTGATGATATGATGCAATTTAATTTCAGGGGGAAGGTGTGGCTTTGAAGTTTATTGTTGTCAAAGAGCCTCTCGCTTGTCCAAAGCCTACTATCATGTTCGAATTTCCTCGCCCGTGGAAGAAATTGAAATTCTAGAGTAATGATAATGGTAATGGTAATGAGGAATGAGGAATGTATTGCATGTCGGTTGCATGTTCGTAAAATTTATCCCATTTTTTACATACCAGTTAGTTTTTTTTGATAAAAAATATGTTGCGGTAATAATAAAATTTTAATTTTTTGTAATAATAATTACTATGGAAATCATGCGGAACCAGCAGTGTTAAAAATAGGGTTGGAAGTTCAATTGTTATTATTATTACTAACATCTACACCATCACTGCTATTGCTATTATTGTTATTACTACCACCGCTATGATTACTATCATCACCAGCATTATTACCATCACCGTTATCATTATTATCACCACTGTTGTCATCATCGTTATAATTATTAAAATTATACACTCACGGTTGATATTGTTGTTGAGATTGGGGTTGGGTGGTCGACATTGCCGTTGAGTGGAGGATCTTGTTTTCGTCTCAAGTGTTTTTGTCTTCTTTCGCTCATTTCAAAATTTTTTGATTCAATTTTTTAAAAATCGTGATCAGAGTATAAAAAGGTACTTTGATTTTCCAACAAAATTTTTACAGTAGGAAAAATTTCCGACAAAAATTTTATTCATTATCATATTATCCATATCTTTTTTCTCATAAACAATGAACAACAAGTGATTGATTGTAAAGTCATCACTTATTTAACAAAACACCTCTTTTTACCATCACAGATGACCGTCTGCCATATATAAAATAACTTGCAGGTATTTTTCAATCAAGACATGGATCATAGCAATGTTTTGAATAAAATCGCTTTGATCATATATATGGATAGGAATTGAATCTGTTAGAATCTGTATTCTCTTTGCACAGTATCCTTTTCCTCAGAACCCAAATTCAAGCTCAATTATCACCTCACAATCAGTTAAACTAACATACCTCACAGAGCCCCGTATGTTATTCATTGGATATAGACAACAACCTGATATATTTTGATATAATTTCTGCACCTTAAAGACTGTAATTAGGCTATTGATATTATACAATATTTAGATGTATTTGTGAATAAAATCAAATGGTGGGATTCTTTTTCAGAATAGTGTACCTTAATAGATTCAAACTATGTTTTTTTAACAATATTCCTTTCCTTTTTAGAAAATCGTGACTTTCTATAGTAGTGCTTCATATCAACATCATGTAGATAGGAAATGCTTGATTTTTTTCTTGCACAAAAGCATGATTAAAAAATATATTCAATAATTATATTTGCTAAATAAAGATTATATATACTATTATGATACAATGCTTTCAAATTGATATTAATATTATTATACTCTATCTCACATGCATGTTAACATGAACTCTTGACTATATTAAAAAAAATAATTATCGGACAATCTATTGATCAATATTGGAGCTTCTAAAATCAAAATTCCTGCGAGTCATGCTTTTTTGGTTGAATTACTTTCATTTGACAAAGTTTCAATTTGCATCATTCTTTGTATAAATGCGCAACTATTTGTAATCATACACTTTAAAATAATTGAGAACTTGCTACAAAAATAACTCGATAAACTTGATAGGGATTTGCGAATTTGATATATTATTATTTGTTTTGATGCTTCTTACTAGAGACATTTTCAAATAATCCAACTTGTTTTCTTGTATAACATTCCATTCATGATCAAACATACTGTTATGCAACTAACTGGATATAAGGCTTATCTAATGATCAATTGGCAATTATTGCTGGCCAATAGAAAATCGGACTTTCTGTAGTATACTTGCCCAAAACTGGACTTGGTAGGCATTTCAGAGAGGAGTAAATTTGACTAACATCAATGTTTTAGAAGCCTCTTGTCATCATTGACTCCACATCACCCATCTTAATGATTTTCAGAATAAGTTGTGAGGTTTTTGGGGAGTAAAGGCAGAAATTGATGAAATATTTATTATTACATATTAATTAACTTTTACAATAAATATTAAGAAATTAATAAATAAATTAACAATTATTCTTTTTCTAGATTACTTGGAAAGTATTTTCCTTCCATTCCGATTACACTGATCAATTGAGGATGAACTTCTACTTGAAATGGTTCAAATTTAAATGATTCACCGTCAATACTAATATAACCACTCTTATTTTTTGGTGTTAATCTAAAAGCCTCAATTTTATAATATTCAACCTGCAATTAACATACATAAGGCGTTTGTTTAAGGTTAACAACATTAATATATAAATCAAAACATTTATTTATTTTACCATAATTTTCAGTACACACCTCATTTTGATCAAAATGACTACCAGTTTGAGCATTAGAAAGAATATCAAGTGCCCTTTTCTTATTAACAGCATCTCGTTTGACAAGGGTTAAATCCAATAAACCATCACTAGGTAAAGCTGCAGGAAAACATAAAAATCCCTTGCCTACCCACGGAACTTTACCAGTATAAAACATAAACAAATCATCATTGATAATTTTCCAATCTTCAGGTATGTCATCATTTACACTTCCATATTTGTCAACTATTTTGTGATTAGTTGGTGTTGATATAGGCAATGATGATTTATAAGAGTTTTGATAATTTCTTTTTATTGTTTCTTTATTCTCCTCTGAAATTTTAATAGCCAAATCACATTTATATCTACGACCTTCTAGAATTGCTTTTATTACACCAATTAGAAAACGAAGATCACCCAACCATCTATAAAAAATATAAAGTTTTCAGATTTTCCTTGTTTTTTTTCAATAATGAACAAAAGTAAAATTCATGATACCTCATATTTTCAGTTCCTAAATCACAATCTGCACTTATTCCATAACTTTGTGTTAAAAATGAAAAACATCTTTCTTTGCCCTGAGTAATAGAACAGATATCGATGTCTAATTTTATGCCTAAATAAGAGACAATAGATATATTTAACTGTATATACATGTACATGAAATGAAATTGATTCGGTTTTCTTATTTTACCTTTAATAATAGCAAGAGCAGAATATGTAGGATTTAAACCTAATACTTCACCATGTAAACTAATACTTAAAGCATTACCACTACCTTAAAAAATGAAGATTATAAATAATATTTATTAGAATTATTATCAAAAATAAAGTAAATATACCTGAAGGAATTACACCAATAGGGATATTTCTATAATCTTTATGTGTTAAAAGTCCATTAACAACTTCATGTATAATTCCATCACCACCTACAGTAATTATTGCATCATATGACTTTAATTCAAGTTCCTGAACAATTTCATTGCCATGATTTTTATGCTGAGTATCTATTGGCAGTAATATTATCAAGTTGTTATTAACTGGTTTAATTTTAGGTGGAAATAAACTATAAACTGAAAGAAAAATAATCAAGAGAAAGTATTTCTTACAGGTTACATCATAAGTACATTTAGCAGCATCAAAGACAGGCTTAACTTCTTTTACAAAAACAGCATGGCCCTTTTTTGTACCACTGTTGGGGTTCACAATTACTTTAAAATGTTTAGTTCCTCCTAATTAAAAAAAATAATTTTAATAATAATAATCATTGTATATAATGGCTATTGTTCTTTAGAAATCGTTGTTGTTACCTAAATTGATAGCATCATTAATTGAATCAGACCATGATTTTACAGTTGTAGAATCTTCTGGTTCAAAAATAAAAGACATCAATTGATGTTTTTGTTTTCCTTCTTTTGTAACAGCTTTGATGGTAATGAGAGACTTTTCATCCAAAGATAAGTCGAGAATGTTTTTTGCAGGAATTTTTATTGCTTTATTTATTATTAGTGAAAATGTATAGATAAGTAAAATTTAAAAAAGTTCAAAAAGAGGGATTAAAAAACATCTTACCAGCTTTGGCTTGTCGTTCTAGAATGAGTGTGTTATCAGTAAAACTTAAAATTCCAACATCTTTACCATATTTTACTTGTAAAGGTTTTATTTCTGACATTTTTTTTTTTTCTTCCTAGTGCTGAATTTTTTTGCGCCAATTGAGAAAAAAAAACACCAAAAATTAATGAAATAATTTTGGCTATATATATACATATTTCCAATGTGCCATGCTCATGATCATCAAATTACACGTATTACGTTACGCGTGAAATCCTGTAATCCTGTTTGATGTAACATAAATTACTAAAAACAATTTATGTACGGTGCGGATCATCTATAATCATTAATTTCATTAATTGCTTATATATATATAGTAACAATTGGTCAACTTCAAAAATACTAAAACAAAAAAAATTTATATCATTTTAAAATTTAACCGATAAGTTTTATTCATGACTCAAGCTTCAAAACTTATCGGCTGGTTTTTTCTTAAACTGAAAATTGACTGAGCCTTAACATTTTGAAAATTCCGAATTTTGTTATACACTTGAGAAATTGAGACTAAGTAAATTTCGTGTAACAACTTTTTTTCATAGAATATTTTCTACAACATGCATTTGATTTATTTGACTTATTTATTTCCTTTTTTTTATTAATAAATAAAAGTTCTTTACAACAAAAAAGTCAAAATAGCGTGACACAAAAATTATTGTTGCACTTCTGAGCATAACTTTCAAACTTAAAAAATCTATGAAAAAGAAATTTTTTTTTTAGATTAATAGACTCCCTTTTTAAAGTTGAATTGAATGGGGGCGAGTTTTTAAAAATCCAATGTGTGGATCACATAATATTTCAAAAATTTTAACTTTTGAGTATAGACAATCCACACTGTATAACTTTTTTAGGTTATATAGCTGCTATGATTAAAAGAATTAAAAAGAAAAATAAATCAATATTGTAATGATGAAATCATTTTTCTTTAAGGGTTTCTGCTTTTTGTTGGATAATGGCACATCTTCATTCTGCTTTTTCTTTCTTGGTAAATTTCATAAGTAATACTTTCTTTTCTTAGATAAGCTTCAAATGTCTGAGTATCATTTATTTTGAAAGTATAAGGAGCAGTTTTTTCACCTTGTGCTATAATTCTTGGGTTCCATAGTAGATCTGATGTAAATGAGTTTCATATTAACTATTTTTGTTTAGACAAATATTATGATCACATTACATTAGTAATACAGTTGTGTTGTTAAATAAACACTATTGACTCCTGAAATTTTTGGTAATAACAATGTTCACTTTGTCTGGTTTTGTTGCAGTTTGCCCCATATGGCAAGTGCTGTATGCCATATTATCACCAAGTAAAGTTACAGTCAAACCTTGTCACAGTGGATGAATGGGACACATAAGAAAATTTATTTTAAAACCTGTTGTGGTGAGATTAGTAAACTTTCCACAACGGATTTTAATGTTTTTATATGCAAAACAAATTTTATGCACAAAAATATAATTAACATAAAAATGGCACCCTGTGATATTTCCTTTTTTAGTAATTTTATGGTTTGTCATGCACAATTTATTGTATTGATCGTCACAATTTCATAGGAAATTGATATTTGTCATGGGTGCCATCTTTCCAGACTTTATGGTATAGTGTTTGACTGTACCTATATTATTTTTTGATTACCTGATTCGGGTTAGCACCACTTAAGATAAACAGTTACAGCATACAGAAAATCTTTCCAAGAATTACAACATAGTTATGACATAGTAATAGCTGTGTCATAACTGAGTTATAGTTTGACAATATGTCTGCAACTTCATTAGTAATAGTAAATCTTGCCACAATGGATTTTAAAATAAAATTTCTTATGTGTCTCATTCATCCACTGTGACTGTAACCTTACTTGGTGGTCATATGGCATACAGCACTTGCCATATGTCATATGTCATATGCCATATTTACATCAGGAAATTTTTCTGATGCAGATTTACGTTATTACACTATTTACATAAGTTTACGGCGGGCCCGTAATATTATGCAAATAAGCATACAAAAATTATGCAATTATTACATTGAGTGTAAATATTACATAATTTTTATGCAAATATTACAACTTTACATATTAAAATTTACAGATGTAATATTGCGGCAGGGAAAATTTCCTGATGTATATGTTTGCACCCTTAGATTTATGTGTGAATTTTGTTTACCAAATAAAGTTGTTTTGTAAGACCCCATACTTATAGATATTAATTTCCAATATTTTAACTTTTTGATGTTTGAATACCAACTAGATTGGGACTAAAATTTTATCATGCATGATTAGAGACATTTTTTCAAAATATTGAGTTCTGTTTCTACTTTGTCAAAAATATTTTTGTAAAATGTACATATTAAAAATATACCATATAAAACTTGCATCATTCAATAGCTTAGGTTCTGATGAATGAATAAATAAATAACCATATATAATTTCACATTTCTAATATGTCTAGAACTCTATTAAATATAAAAAAAGAACTACTTTAAATTTTGATTTTTCTTATTTGTCTTAAGACTTGAAATTTTTTTGCTTGTTGGCCATCTTTACCTGAGACACAGGCCTAAATTCTTTGAGGATGTTTTCAATCAAATATCCAATGAATTTATATCCCACTCTTCCTCAATCTGGCTTCAAGTTCTTTTGCTTGTTGAGATGATTATACCAGTGTTGGGAAAGTTGCTGGAACAGGAACACTGAAACAAATTTTCCAGTTCCAGTTCCAGTGTTCCAGTGACTTTTTTCTGGAACACCAATGGAACACTGTAACCACAGTAAAAACTGGATCACTGGAAACAGCAATGGATCACTGGTAGTGGTTGTATCTGTTGATTATCCAAGCGTTTGAGTACTTGGTCAATCAATAAAGCTCAACACCTGGATAATCAGCCAGCCAATAAAACTCAACACCCAGATAATGAGTCATTTACCAAATACCCACCAAATACCCGCTGAATATCCACTGAATATCTGTTGAATATGTATATTTTTTCAAATAACAACAGATTCAATTTTATTTGTTCAGCTGTCATTGTGTTTCCAGCTTCATTAAATACAGTCAAACCTTGTCACAGCAAATGAATGAAGATTTATTTAAAACCCATTGTGGCAAGATCAGTAAATCTTGCCACAATGGGTTTTTATATGTTAATGTGAATGTGAAGCAAAAATTTAAAATCTGCTATGACAAGAACTTAATTATAGTCCTCTGTGACAAGGTCGCTCATTTGGAGTAGAAGTTACTGCAATGCATAAATATTCTTTAAATAATAATGACACAGTTGGTATTCATATTACTTGATATTATATTATAATAGAAAGAATGTTGGTGATAGTGTAATAGTGGATAAAATAGTATTATCATGTTAATGTATTCTTTCAATTATGTGGATAAGAATTTTTATTTTTTATGTTTCTGAACCACTGATTATTCACCAATTATCTGATGAAAATTTCCAACACCCAATTAATTAATCAATGAAAAATTTTCAATACCTGATTAACAGACAATCAGTAAATAATCAGTGAATATCATTTGGCAGATACAACCACTAATCACTGGAACTAATGGAACCAATAGATTTTATAATGAAAAGCTAAATTAATTCTAACCTTATTTATTTTGTAAATTTTTAATTATATGAACTCATTTGGGATTTTGATTGTCTGGCTGCACTGCAGTTTACATCACAATTTTCTCCCTATTCACATTTTATAGCTTTAAACTGGGCTTACTCAGCTGCCCTTCCAATAGTAACCTCTTTTCTGAATTTGCATTAGTGCGAACCTGCTGTTATTCTACTGCCTCTTCAGCTCTGGTCCAAGTTTAAATAATTTCCATTTGGCCTCTTATTAGCAGCTGGATGCACCCTATGTTTTAACAGAATTTTTAATTCTTTTGGATCATCCAAATCACTTTCATCACTAGTATCATTAAAAGTCTCATCATATAGTGCTTCAAACCAATAATTCCATTGTTTGATGATGAACTGATGGAAGAACTTGATTCATTATATATATATCATTTATTTGATTTATATGTGAAATATCAATGAATTAGAACTTTCAGATGGAGGAGATGTAATAGATGAATTATCATAATTATTGTCCAATTCTGTTGTAAGATCATAAACAAACATAATAAAATATTATTAATTATTGCAATTAATCCAATGATAATATAAAATACATACAATCAACATCAGCATCAACTTCAATTTCTATACTATTATTTAATCTTGATTCAATTCTTTTTTGTCTCATTTCTAAATGTAAATTTACTGATTCCAATTTATCTGGATTAATAGTTTGTAAAGTTTTCACAATTAATTAAGTGTTTACCAATAAATGGGATAGTATTAGAAAATTTTAATTTTGTAACATTATATGACCATTCCCACTCTTTTATTTGTATGCAGGCTTTGCAGATAGCTAAACAATTACTTTTAACCATTATCTCTCTTTTTTGTTACAACATATTTGCAAAACATCCAAAAGTTTTCCATCTATGTGTCTACTACTCATTTTTTTAAAAAAATCTTTTGCATTATAATTAATTGTGGAACTTTTAAGCAAAGTCACAAGGTGAACATCTACAAAATGGTCATATGATCTCATCACATGGAGCCATGTACAAAAAAAAAAAGATAATTATTGTGAAAAATTGACATCATTCAAGCTTTGTCATAAAGTCTGACCCAAAAGAAAAAACAACTATATAGTGGCAGTGACATTATCCATATTTATTTCATTATTACATGTAAATATCAGTATTAAAAATAAAATTTACACAGATTCTTCATTGGTTCTAGCAGTTCCAGCAGTTCCAGCAGTTCCAGCAGTTCCAGTGTTCCAGTGATGTTTCCAAACTGTTCCAGTGTTCTAGTTCCAGTGATTTTCCCCACTGGAACCGGAAATTCCCAACACTGGATTATACTAAATTGGATTTTGACTTGGCCGATTTTTTTTTATGCATTTAAATTTTTTTAGATTTAATTTGGGGATGATTTTCAGATTTTTTTTTTTTTTACACAAGAAAAAAATTTTTTTTTAATCTTTTTTTTAAAAAAAAAAAAAA